TTCAATGTCCATGCCAAGGCGGCCCTTTCAGGAGCGGCTCAGGACTTCATGTCTGCCATGGCAACCATGGGGCTGTCCCAACAAGTATCTGGCCCCACTCACAGTGCAGGACATACATTGGACTTGGTTTTCTGCCAGGGATGGGAGGAAGGTGGCGGTGTCGAGGAGTTGACCATCTCTCCGTTGCCATGGACCGACCACTTCCTGGTCAGATTTAGGCACACTGTGCCCCCTAACCTCTGCAGAGGTGGAGGACCCATTAAGTTGGTCCGCCCCAGGAGGCTTATGGATCCGGATGGATTTCTGATGGCTCTTGGGGAGTTTCCCGCCGCCTCGGTAGGTGACCCTGTCAAGGCCCTGGTCGCTCTCTGGAATGGGGAGATGACTAGGGCAATTGACACGATCGCTCCAGAACGTCCCATCTCAAATAGCCGAGCTAAACCAGCTCCCTGGTTTACCGAGGAGCTGGCAGCGATCAAGCGAAGGAAGAGGGAACTAGAGAGTGTGTGGCGTTTGGATCTGAACGAGCCAAATCGAACACGGTTTGTGTCCTTTTTAAGGGCATATGCCACGGCAATAAAAGCCGCAAAGAAAGCTTTCTTTGCGGCCACTATTGCGTCTGCAAAGAACCGTCCGGCTGAGCTGTTCCGAATTGTCAGAGGCCTTTTAAATCCCACCACTCAAGGTGGGAACCCTGACAATTCGACTTCTCGCTGTGAAGCTTTTGCTCAGTTCTTTGCAGACAAAGTCGCTTTGATCCGTTCTGGTCTGGATATCATGTTAATGGCAGTCTCTGAGGATGTAACACGAGCATCTGCTTGTCCAGTTTTGATGGATTCATTTCAATTGCTGAAACCCGAGGATGTGGACAAGATACTTGGAGGAATGAGGCCAACCACATGCATCCTAGACCCCTGCCCATCCTGGCTTCTAAAGGAGGCCAGAGGGGGATTGGCTGAGTGGGTTAAGGTGGTGGTTAATGCTTTCCTTCGGGAAGGCAAGATTCCAGCAAGCTTAAAACAAGCTATAATAAAACCGCTGTTGAAAAAACCATCACTGGACCCCACTAAATTCGACAACTATCGGCCAGTTTCCAATCTCCCCTTTTTGGGCAAAGTCCTGGAACATGTGGTGGCCTCACAACTCCAGGTATTCTTGGTAGACACGGATTATCCAGACCCGGCAGTCTGGCTTTAGGCCGGGACATGGTACCGAGACAGCTTTGGTCGCCTTAGTGGATGATCTGCGCCAGGAGCTCGACAGGGGGAGTGTGTCCCTGTTGGTGCTTCTGGACCTCTCAGTGGCCTTCGATACCATCAACCACGGTAACCTTCTAGGACGCCTCGTGGGGATGGGTCTTGGAGGTACTGTTTTGCAGTGGCTCCGGTCAGTCATAGAGGGTCGATCTCAGAAGGTGTTACTGGGGACACCTGTTCAACCCCACAACCATTGTCTTGTGGGGTTCCTCAGGGCTCAATATTCTGTCTCCCATGTTGTTTAACATCTACATGAAGCCGCTGGGGGAGATCATCCGGAGTTTCGGGGTACGGTGTCATCTGTACGCGATGATGTCCAACTCTGTCACTCCTTTCCACCTGCTACTAAGGAGGCTGTTGAGGTCCTGAATTGGTTCTTGGCAGCTGTGATGGTCTGATGAGGGCAAACAAAATGAAACTGAATCCAGACAAGACAGAGGTACTCCTGGTCATTCGCAAGGCTGAACAGGGTATAGGGTTACAGCCTGTGTTGGATGGGGTTACACTCCCCCTGAAGACGCAGGCTTGCAGCTTGGGTGTGATCCTGGACTCATCGCTGAGCCTGGAACCCCAGGTTTTGGCGGTGACCAGGGAGCATTTGCACAACTAAAACTTGTGCGCCAGTTGCGCCCGTACCTTGGGAAGTCTGACTTGGCCACGGTAGTCCACGCTCTGGTTACATCCCGTTTAGACTACTGCAACGCTCTCTACATGGGGTTGCCTTTGAAGATGGCTCGGAAGCTTCAACTAGTCCAACGTTCGGCAGCCATGATTCTAACAGGAGCGGAAGGCAGGGAGCATATAACCCCCCTGTTGCGCCAACTCCACTGGCTAACAAATTTGCTACCGGGCTCAATTCAAAGTGCTGCCATTGGCCTTTAAAGCCCTAAACGGTTCCGGCCCAAGATACCTATCCGACCGCATCTCTGCTTATGAATCCACCAGGACTTTGAAATCTTCCGGGGAGGCCCTGCTCTTGATCCCGCCTGCCTCACAGGCACGGCTGGCGGGGACGAGAGATAGGGCCTTCTCGGTGGTGGCCCCTTGGCTGTGGAACACCCTTCTCACGGATATTAGACTAGCTCCATCATTAATGGTATTCCGCAAAAAAGTGAAGACTTGGTTGTTTGAGCAGGCTTTCAAATAGTCAGTGCAATGAGTGTAATGAACATAGTAATGGAACAATGGATGACGGATCTGGATCATGTTTTTAGGGATGAGACGCTAGTGAATGGCTATTGTTGTTAATTGTATATTATTGTATAAGGTGTTATGATGTTAGTTTTTATACCGTGTTATTGTAGTATCGAATTTTTGCTGTTCTGTTGTTAACCGCTGTGAGTCGCCTAAGGGCTGAGAACAGCGGTATACAAATAAAGTAAATAAAGTAAATAAATAAATAAATAAATATTCGCAGCAGCATTTTGATATCCTTGATGAGAAATGCCAGCGCTTCAACAATTTTGTCTCTGACTAGCACTGTGTGGATGTGTATGAACACATATCCTTTTAAAGATATACTAGTCTCTTCTTATGCAGTCTGGTCTTGCACTCAAGTCCTGATGAACAAAAATACTCTTGAGTCAGTTGTGCTTTTCAAAAGTAAAAAATGATAACAGTTCATTCACTAAGAATAACAAAGTCACAGAACAGTTCACAGTAGTTATCCTCACCACAGGAACAAACTAAACATTTTCTTCTTAAGTAGATTTCTTCTTCATACAATGGCAGGAAACTGAAGCAATAAACAATATAACATCTTTTTTTTTTTACGAAGTCAGGATGCCCTTAACTGGTAATACAGTGAGATAAACAGCCATTTTTGGCATTGTTACCATCGGCCTCTGCTAGCTCCAAGATCTGTTTTTACACAGTATGCTTGATACCATACCCAACTAACACATTCCAGTTGCTCTATTGCAGTACCAGACTGGCTCTGATTATCACTTAGCAAATCATGAGTAGCGAGAAGAAAGATGCTTATTTGGGAATAAAGTGCAATCGAGAAATGTGAAAAAGATTATAGAATCATGTCAAGATTAGGAAAGGAAGAAGCAAACAAGCTCACGAGTTTAATTAAATGTGAGTCTAAAAATGCTGATATTACTTTCTAGTCCTATACATTCACAATGACTTCCTTGTAAATCATTATATAGGACCAGGAAAATATCGTGTTTCTTGACATTTCATTGGCATTTCACTGTGCTCCTCACTTTTGCACAATATATCCCCAAATGCAGCACATGTATCACACAGGCCTGTAGTGAGGGGGGGGGGGGGGTTAGGGGTTCAACCCCCCCCCGAAATGTTTCAGATTTTTGAAAAAAACTGGTTTACTCATGAATTTTAACTGGTTAACCTAATCCCTATGCTAAGTCTATGAGATGCAAAAAATTAAGAGACCCTCCAGAACTGCCAGCACTATCTTAAGCAAATATTGACAATTTATTCACACTGTCATTACTTGCAGCAATAGCTGATGTAGTGAAGCAACCAAGTTGGGGGGGGAGGGGTTGAATGCTCTCATTAAAGGTGATGGTACTCACCTTTAAGGCCTTGCATGGTCTGGGGCCAATGTACCTGAGGGACCGCCTCACCCCCTACCAACCCCAGAGATCCCTCCATTCTGAGGACCAAGATTTGTTGGAAATTCCCAATGTCAAGACCTTGCATCTAACAGCAACCAGATGCAGAGGCTTTACAGCAGTGGCACCATCACTCTGGAATACTCTGCCACCTGAAATCCGTGCCTTGTGGGACTTATCAGCTTCCCGCAGGGCATGTAAGACATATCTGTTTCGACAGGTCTTTGATCTTTGATATTGCTGTTTTTAAATTGTTTTAAATTGTTTTTAAATTGTGTTAGATTTTAGTCTGTTCTTGTAAGCCGCTCCGAGCCCCAGGGGAGTGGCGGCATATAAATTTGAATAATAAATAAATTAATTAAGGAGGCCAGACTTGGTGGAGGTGGTTGACAGGGACGGAACTGCAGGCTATTGAAGGCTCCTCTGCCCCCTGCTGTGCTCTTTGCTTCAGCTTGAGCTAGGAGGCAGGTTTCAACACCCCCCTCCCGGCAAAAATGTCAACCCCCCCCGAAAATGTCAACCCCTCCCGAATTTTTTTTCTGGCTACGGCCCTGGTATCACATGTACTGGTATAAATATTTCAATTTACAGTGCTATCCTATGAATCCTGAAATAGCAATTGAAATCTTGTTCCAGGGGATGTAGCTCCAAAAACATAGATTTTTTTCACCAATGCTACTCTCCCAGGACTTACTTTTTCAGTTGTACACCCCTCTCCACTGGTCACTGTAGTGCTAGAGGTCAGTGAAGTATGAGCAGAAATGCTTTCTCGTCCAGTTGAGGGAAAGAGCTGAACATGACTCTGCTTATCCTGTATTCCTTGTTCTACCGTTTTTGTTTTTTTTTTTTTAAAAAAATAATCCATGTATTATCTGGAGCTAAAAATAATGCTTCAAATTCTCTTGTTTTTATAGCTCATCATGCACTTCATAAATTTAGATCAGAATCCTGATTATATAATCAAGCTTTTTAAACAACAAGACAAGAAAACAAGTAACATAGCAAAGTGTAGTTTACTTTACAACTAGATTAAAACTGCTGTCTCCATAAAACTCGTAAGTATTCTTTTCATGGATCTGACACCTTGTCTGATCCTACCACAGGTTGCAACTAGAGGATAATGCTATAATGAAATGTCCTCGGGAGAATTTGTACTTACTGCAGACACGATGAGCTCTCCGCCTAAATTCTGTATTTCAGCTTTGACTTGGCTGCAAATCTTGAGCTGGTGGGAGTACAGTTTGACTTGTTCCAGATAAGCCAGTAAGTCCTGCTTACATGATGGGTCTGGACACTAAGAAGTAAAAACAAATACAGTGACAAAGCTGTTCCATTTTTTAGTATGATTGTCTGAAATAAAAAACTGTGGTGAGAATACATACAATGTGATTTTGACACTTTTGCCTCTACATATCAAAAGCTAACTGAAAATTATTGACAGTTCACAAAGAATTATTTGCTTTTTAGTGAGAGATCAGGGAAATGGAAGGTGACAATTTTTGTAAGTGAGAGGAATTAGAATTTGGACATTTTACTTTTTTTTCTCATTTCCAGAAACCACAGCCATGGCTATTTTCCTTAGGGACTGGGCCATTTTAGGCAGTTTGTTTCTGTATATGTTGGTTTAATTCAAAATATCTCAATGATGCAATAAATGATGCATACATTTTAGTTTGGCTGATTGAGGAAGGTTTTGAACACCATCATTAGAACCCTTTTGGAGTCTTAGGTCTATAGTTTCTGTATCTAGTGAATAATTGCTGTTACATTAACATGTAGCACAGCCAGCAACTGCCTGGTGCACATTGGTGCATAATGAGTATTGGTATAAAATGCACAGCAGTGTCAGCAGTGAACAATGATTGGCATTGCACATTAATTTATTTATTATTTACCTACAACATTTGTATCCCGCCCATATCAGCCCGAAGGCAACACAGGGTGGTGTACAAATCAGCACCAATTAGATGCCATATATAAAAATACATACATCAATAAAAATGGAATCACAATACATTTAAAACCATAAAAACAATGAATAATAAAAAATATAAAAACTATGTCTTCTTGTTCAAATCCTCATTAATACTTACAATTATATTAATCTCAATGAGCATAGGGCGCTCTTGCTAGTATCCTGTTATTCATCTTCACAATTCAGCAAATATACTTAAACAATAAATTCCTTGAAAACAACCCCCACACTATTTTCCTCTTTTATTATCTATGCCAGTTTATTCATTTGATGGTTTCTCTGTGCAAAAATTATGTTTGTGTGTGTATGACAGCCAACATGAGGTAATGGAAGTCAGTGTGATGGTTGAGAGTTGTATGTTTGTATGCATGCATGTGTTTTTGTGTATATGAGAGCCAGTGTGGGGTAGTGGGAGTCAGTGTCATTGTTTGAGAGTTGGACTAGGATTCCAGTAGCTTTTCATTGATTTCTCACAATATTTCTTTCTCTGTGTCAACAGATCAACAACTGTGGTTAATCCTTTTGCCTATATGACCTTCCTCATGGCACATAATAAGTAAGATATTCAGTTCGGCACCTCAGACACTTCAAATGATAGTACTGACAATATCAAGTGATATGATGGAATGATAAATAGTAGGGCTGGTTGATCAAGAAAAAATTTGGTTCTAAAATCGATTTGTAATTGGGGTGTTTTTTTGTTTCGATATTTAAAATAATTACAAAACTTTCCCAAATTAAATAGCTAGTATAAATTTCTTGGCCCTAGAATAAAATTGGCTGCAAACAGTAAAGGAGAAATAGAAACAGCTCAATAAACCTTTTGGCTCAATGTCATGCTTGGAGACAGAGGTTCCAGTCTAACACTTGGCACGTCTTACCCTAAGATAAGCTAGAAAACAGAGAAACATACAACCTCCTGTAAACATTGATATTAATCTAAACTCCTGTGGATGATCTTTGTGATTGTGTGGATAGCAATTTATGATGTGTGTCTAAAGAAGTATGTTTTGATTTCTGTGAAACTCTCCATCTTTCTGTTTTCTGGCACTGTGTATTCAGAACACCTATCGAGATAGCTGATACTTTCACAATACAGGTGTACAACATCGCAACATGTAATATCTATATATGTGTGTGGGAGATGTGTGGATTCCCAGAAAAAAAAAAGGGGGGGTATACCATTGTATAAAGAGAGAATTATACACAGAACAACAGCCTGCATGAAAACAACAGTGGTTTTCCCTGTCTATTGTGTTCCCCATTCAAAAGTCAAGGTGTCTCTCTGAGCCAGAAGTGCCAGAAGTGGGCAATGTATGTCTATGCCACACAGCTTTGCAACCTAAAATAAGACCTTCTGGCAAACAAACTAGTCCACTGTGGCCTAGGCAAAACTATGGTGAGGTGGATCTGTAATTGGTTAAATAGACAAACCCAGAGGGTGCTCACCAATGCTTTCTCTTCATCCTGGAAAGAAGTGACGAGTGGAGTGCCGCAGGGTTCCGTCCTGGGCTCGGTCCTGTTCAACATCTTTATTGATGACTTAGATTAAGGGATAGAAGGCATGATCATCAAGTTTGCAGATGACACCAAATTGGGAGGGATAGCCAATACTCCAGAGGACAGGAGCAGAATTCAAAACGTTCTTGACAGATTAGAGAGATGGGCCAAAACTAACAAAATGAAGTTCAACAGTGACAAATGCAAGATACTCCACTTTGGCAGGAAAAACGAAATGCAAAGATACAGAATGGGACAATGCCTAGCTCGAGAGCAGTACATGTGAAAAAGATCTTGGAGTCCTCATGGACAACAAGTTAAAATCTTCAAACACCCACATCTATCATTTGAAATTTAATTCTCTCATTTTGCGACCTGCACCACTACGGGGGTAGTTTATTTACTCAATTGTGGATGCAATCTCTCTTATGTGGGTCAAATTCACAGAGAAATAAAATCTAGGATCATTGAACATAAGAGTAAAATCAGAAATCACTCCAGAGATTCTATACGTTATAAAATTTTTGATGATCTACAGCATAACCCATAATCGTATAGCTATTACATTCAGGAAGTGGTTACACAATCCAAACTTATGGACTTCAACAATAAACTTCTACAAAGAGAAACATATTGGATCTTCAGATTATGGACAGAATATCCATATGGTCTAAATGAACAAAATTTGTATAATTGTTATAGATAAGTTCTGGGTTTTATCCAAATCATTTCAATTACACTACACATCCCTATTTGAGTACACTGAGGGCACTCACACCCCCATCTGGTGTTCACTTTTTACAAGCTTCATTCCTATAACTTTAAATAAGCTTCTCCTTTGTTTGAATATTTTACATCTTCCCCCTTTAAATTGAGAGAACTCACAGACCTTTTTCATACTCGGTATTAGAACCAAACACAGCAGAGTATCTCATGAGCACTCCCGTTTTGTAAAATACATTCATATTTTAACAAAACATTCATTTTTAGTATATGTAACTTTCAAATATTTACAGCCACATTTTGTTCCTTTGATTTAGATCTCACTAAGCAAAAAGCCTGTATCTCTAAGGAGAACAAGTGTCAAGTTTATAACTTTGTAAGTACCTTTAAATGATGTTTAATGGATATATTTGCAACAAATGTTGATGTATATAATAAGTGTTAAGTTTATAACTTTGCAAGTATCTTCAAATGTATTTCAATATATGATGTTCAATATATATTTGCAGCAAATTTTGATGTATATAATAATTTTAGTCCACCAGAGGAAGGCCTGGAGTAAGGCCAAAACCGGTCGTAGACGGCTGATTCATATGCAACTCAACTAAAGAAGACATGGCATTGATACCATTTCAGAGTGACTGTACAAAAACTCATATAATATTGTTTGTGAATACTGTGAAATTGAACAGTATAACAAGTTTATACAATTATATGTTGAATTCCATTATTTTCTATTTTCTCTATAAGTGGGATATTTGGGAGAGCTACCCATGTTCTCATTAGTTTAATCTGGGGACAGCAATGGTTTCTCCCATGTGATGTGGAAGGGGGAGAAGTGGCACGTGGGACATTTGTTCAGATTTGTTGCCATAGCTTTCCTCAGAAGTTGAGAGAGTGTGACTTGCCTGAAGTCACACCATTGTTGAGATCTGAACCTGGTCTCCCAGAGACATAGTCTTAAACCTCTATACTACACTGACTCAGAAACCTCTTTGAATAACTCTACAATTTAGAACTTTTTGAAGTGTGGAATTATACAAAATTATTCTGTGTAATTCCACAATTCAAAATGTCACAAAGTGCTTCAAGCCTAGGGAAAAATGACAAAAATAAACAAACACAAAAACAGAAAAACTCTGATCTTATGTTAACTCATGTTACTTTAATTTAATCACAATGCCAAGGAAATGAAATTACTTTTCCCATTGTACTAACTGTAATAATGGGAAGTGTAAAAGATCATGGCCATAATCCAGGACAGTGTAAAGTACATTTAAGACCATTACAAATGAAATTGACTGATTTGTGAATCCTAACACTAGTTTCAGTAGCCCTCAACAAATGACTGGTAAACTAGATTTTGTTTCATTTTGCTGTATGGCTAATATGGCTATCCTGAAGATATTTGTTTCTGGAACTGGACTTATGATCAAGAATCCGGTATGCTTCTGATAATCACATAGCTGATTTTTTGCCTTCGTAATTTCTTTATCATCTAATATCCTATTACATTAGTTTTCTCATTTGTAACCAAACTCTTCATGAAGAAATGAATAATTTAATTACACAGTTCTTGTGGGTTTTTTCGGGCTATAGAGCCATGTTCTAGAGGCATTGATAATTTAATTACAGTTTCCCTTTAAGTCCTTGGCTTCAAAAGCACAGTGATGCATGGAGAATGTATATCCTCATGTCCATTGAATGAATTGCCTGTTAAACTGATTGCTTACTAATAATCATGGATGGCTGTTTGATGATTCTTCAATAGCCACTAATGACTAGAGGTTTTATTCCTTCATAGGCAATTGGCCTTTTTGGTGATGTCTGAAACTATTGCTTATGATCTGATTAAAAAGAGGACATTTGGCAGAGCCTGAAAAAGTTGCCTTTTTAATTAGTGGTAAGTATCCATGCTAGCTGGGGGACAGTGGCAGCTGTAACTGAAAATTAGGAAAGAAAGAAATTTCTGGGAAAAGTAAATGATGATAGTTATATGTAAGGTATATATATTTTAAGGACCTGGAACAGCGTGACTACTGGCTTCCTTCAGACCTCATCATATTGAGGTCCTTGATGTGGGGGACAGCGGGGGG